TTTTAGCAAATGGCTGCAATATAACAAAGAGTGAAAAATTTAAGGGGGTCTGAATACTTTCCGTACCCACTGTATGTTGATTAAAATTCAGTTTGAAAAGTTACTTTTTTTTTTGCAAAATATATTTATATATATATTTAATATAAAATATATATTTTTTTATGTTTAAATGTATCTGACTGCATAAAAAAAAGCAAATTCGAGCTTCAAATTGGACTAAGTTTACGTTTCACTTGTTTTGCTCAGTTAAGAATCTCCATAGGATCATATAGGCCCCTCTAGAGGCTGTACCATAAAATGCTATTTTGTCTTTTTTTTTCTTCACAAGATGGAAAGAGTTTAAATTACACAATTCCATAATTTTAAACATACCTCAAGGTCTCTTCCTGTTTTTTCAGTCCAGGATCCTGGGTCAATGAAGGTTGCAATGTGTCTGGCATTCCAAAGAAAACACAAAATACATAATGTGTAATTACATGATCACTTCTGTAGCCTGAGAACGAGACTCTGATGAACTTGAAGCCTAAGAATGAGACTTGAATATGAAATTGATGCCTAAGAACAAGGCTCTTATACGAACTTGAAGCCTGAGAACAAGGCTCTTATACGAACTTGAAGCCTGAGAACAAGGCTCCTTTTGGAAATTGTAACCAAATAACACGCCTGGAACAAGGCCAGTAAATTAATTATCTTTAGTCTCAACCTAAATATGGTTCTGTAGGTCTCATCTCCAAAACCATCGGGCCGAAGAGAATCAAGAAAAAGTATCTCCCTCTTAGCTACAAACAAAACCTGCAATCAATGGGTATTTTGTTAATATCCACGAAAATCGAACTCACTAACCCTACCTGTTGAATTTGGAAATATTACAACTAGAAAGATTAACAGAAACTTAACACAGAGCAGATAGTGATCAGCTTCATCCGCCTGCCTGCTCCAAGCTGGAAATAGTATGATATCCTTGGACCTCACGTTTCCCTAATAATATTGTGACAAAATAATATGCATGCACAAAAATAACATATACTTTTGTGCCTATTCCCAATAGAACTCTTTCTCGGTTGATAAGTACATGATAGCAAAAAAAACTTACAGGCAAACAATGCACTGGGTCCACATTTTTGTCTTTCCAGGTGGGAACAGCATAGAGGTCCACAATGTGAACATTTTTTCCCTTATGGAAAGAACATAAGTTATTAAACATGCATACATCCAAATGAATACTTCTAAAAGAAGATAATAGTATAAAGTACATGTCTTCGTGTAGCTTCTTCCACAATCTTGAGGCAGGCATTTCCGATCTGAAATGTATTGCAGAACAATTACATCCCTGTCAAAGCTGCTATGTGTAACATTATGCATTATCTAGGAATTTGTTTTTTTGTGCAGTAAATTAAGACACTAAACATACGCACATTAGATTCCATGTACTGGCTTAAACCCAGGCTCCAGAAGTCTTCTCGTGTGAGGCAAATTTGGCCTTGCTTTATGATCAGTTCTTCTGATGGCCGATTTTTGTCCAACACATACTTTAACTAAAAATAAAGAACGTTTAACAGATTAAGTAATGGTTATCATTTAAATATGCAAGTGTCACTAAATAAACAATACTCACCAGTTCATCTTGAATAGGGTCCAAGACCTTCTCCCACCTTGCACCTGAACAAGCATATGGATGCTCTACCTGCCATTTGAATGTTGAGTAGCAGTGGTCCTGGAGAAACATCCTCTCAGTTGGTCCATCTGATGATATACAAATACGAGACAATGGACTATATGCATGGAGCATTCTTTAGAACTTCTGTATATAGATAAGCCAGCTCGAAAACTTCCAGTGAAATGTCATTTGACGCTGTGGTATGTGGAAGCAATTTCGCGCATGCGCAGTACAAATCGTGTTTCCGGTACAACAAGCAAGAAAGAGGAAGAAGACAGTCGTGCTGCGAGACAACAGAGGAAAATATGAGTTGGTGAAAAATCACGGCAGGCTTAGTGTTATAGATGTAACAGTCCGCCGCGAATACTTTATATTTTGTGCACCTTATCTCGGGGACCCAGCTCAGTGAGTGTTTGCTCGTTGACAGCCACACTAATGTTATCAAGAGCTAGCTCAGGGGCTAATAAGCTTATCAATATAAGAGACAGACATCATATTCATTAGACACGTTATGTAGATGTGTTTCCCGTTAATCGCCAGTTGTGAAGTTATTAAATGACTAGTGAATGGTGGGGAATAAATTTGGTGTGGCCTAGACGAGGATTGGCGAGATCTCTCAGCTGGAGTTAAGATCATACTGAATGTGTTGACCTAATTCTGTCCATTTCCACTGATATCAGTACAGAAACACATTTGTGGCCTCCCCAGTGGTGTGGACAGATATTCACAAGCCTCAGAGTACTACTAAATGGGTGTTATATTTCCCATATGCTTTAGTTTTTAGGGATGCCCCAGTGAGATCTTTGGATGCTCTATGACAGATGCTAAAAGCATTGCTTTATATTTCATATGTTATGTTTCTGACTTTTTGGATGTTGTCTTTGTTTGTGTTTTCGGAAACAGTTACAGTGTTTGTCACATAAGCTGCGCACAGTTTATGACTGTATATAACGGTGTACTGTCACCTTGTTCACTCATATCTCTGAAGATGTCACAACATTTATTGGTTTATTTTGCTCTTGTAAAAATTTGTCTTTTGTACATGTGAGTAATCACTAGAGATTGCTTTGATGTCCTACTGGCCAAGTTTCTTTTTAAAGGAATAGTTCAGACAGAAAAGAATATTTTGATATTATTTGTGTAATTTATCTCTAAAGTAAGTAAGTAGAACACAAAAGATATTTTGTGTATTACACAAATATTCTGGACAGTTTTTCATATGAGGACTGGGGCTGTCAGGCATCCAAAATGATAAAAAGAGTTTTTAAAAGCATCATAAAAGTATCCATATGACTTGTGTGCTGTATTCCAAGTCTTTTGAAACCATATGATTGTTTTGAAATCATATAAACAGATGCTCTTCACTGGAAATGTTGCCCTCCGGTGGGAAACTATTTTAGTTGAACTCAAGAACTGGATCAGTTCAGTTAGTAAATGAAGCATTCAGACCAGTTTTATTAACTGGATCAACTGATTTAAAAGATCTGACTAGAATCTCGAAAGAACAATTTTGTTCACATATTGGACATTGCTACTTGCAGATTTTTAGTCAATAACGGACTGAAATTTTGATCTCACACAAAGCTACTGTATGACTGTAGAAAATGTACTTGGAATATAGTGCATGATTCATGTGGATTATTTTTGTGATGCTTTTATGCTGCTTTTTGTAATTTGGGTGCTTGACAGCTCCAGTCCTAATTCAGTTTCATTACATTCATGAAAACAAGTATATCCTTTAGAAACTCTCCTTTTGTGTTCCATAGAAGAAAGAAAATGATACAGGTTTGGAATGGCATGAGAGTGACGTATTCAAGTTTGGATGAACTATTCCTTAACTACTGCATTTCAGAACGACTCAGTACTGTTCATAACAACCAGACTGAAATTCTGTCCTCTCTGTATTTGTGTGCTTTATATCTTTAGGCAGCAAATAAGTAGTATTTGATTTCTACTCCCCTGATGTCTGCCGAGGCATCTGGTTCATCTTGTGGGAATGTGGTGACTGTGTCCGGTTCTGCCGCATCATCCTCCAGCCACGTTGGGGAAGAAAAGGCCGGCAGGAGCCTGGCGGGGAGTAAGTATGTGAAGCTCAATGTGGGGGGAACTCTCCACTACACCACGGTCCAGACGCTCAGCAAGGAGGACAGTCTGCTCAGGAGTATTTGTGATGGGAGCACAGAGGTCACCATAGACTCTGAGGGTAAGAAAAAGCATGAGAATATGTTGTTATACACTACCTTTCAAAAGCTTGGGGTTGGTAAGGTTTAATGCCTCAAGGCTGCATTTATTTGATCAAAAATATAGTAAATATTAATAAATATTACTGCAATATAAAATAACTGTTTTCTATTTTAATGTATTTTAAAATGTAATTTATTGATGGCAAAGCTGAATTTTCTTCAGGCATTACTCCAGTCTTCAGTGTCACATGATCCTTCAGAAATCATTCTATACACAGACTTGATCAAGATATTTCTTATTTTTTATCAATGTTGTGCTCCTTAATATTTTTTTTTCAGGATTCTTTAATGAAAGTTTAAAAGAACATTATTTATTTAAAATCTAAATATTTTGTAACATTATAGATGCCTTTTACTCTCACTTTCAATCAATTTAATTCTTACTCAATAAAAGTATTAATTTCTTTCAAAAAAAACAAAGCAAAACTAAAGAAAATGGTAGCGTGTGAAAGAAGGGTGGCGTAGCATGACATCAGCTCCAGTACAGCTTTTTCTGGTCAAGTACTTCTATAATACTGCTATAATAGATGCAGAAACTACATTTACATTTACATTTAGTCATTTAGCAGATGCTTTTATCCAAAGCGACTTACAAATGAGGACAATAAAAGCAGTCAAAACTAACAAAAGAGCAACAATATATAAGTGCAAACTAGATCAGAGATGTGTATTTAAATGTGTCTTCACTTGCTTTTTAAGGCTGGGTGGTGCTGGACAGATGTGGGAGACACTTTTCCCTGGTGCTGAACTTCCTGCGGGACGGGACGGTTCCTTTGCCGGAGAGCACACGGGAGCTAGAGGAGGTATTGAAGGAGGCGCAATACTACAGGCTCCAGGGTCTTGTGCAGCACTGCCTCACCACATTACAGGTTAGAGGATCCACTGGACCGTGTTTCTGTATCATCAGTGTTGGTCCAAAATAGCATGTTTCTATAGAGAAGTCGAATGCTTCTTTGAGCTTACTAACTTTCACTTACTAATGTCTTGTTTGATGTTGATGCAGAAACGGAGGGATGTCTGCAGGGGATGTCACATTCCTATGATCACTTCAGCCAAAGAGGAACAGAGGATGCTAGCCACCTGTAGGAAGGTGAGATAACAGAACGGAATATTTATTTCCCCCTTAGACCCAAAAAAAAGAAAAAAAAAGAAATCTCAATAGGCTGCAATACACAACTTTTGCCCAGAGATTTTCCTCTATATATCCGATATCCGATTCCTTCAACTCCAACCACCACAATGCGAGGGCGACACGTTTGCCCACAAAGATAGCATTTTAATGCTGGCATGCTGTATGCGCTCGCATTTTATATAGGTGGGAACTTTATATATCAGGGGTGCCCAACCTCGGTCCTGGAGGGCCGGTGTCCTGCAGAGTTTAGCTCCAACCCCAATTAAACACACCTGAACCAGCTAATCAAGCTCTTACTAGGCATGCTAGAAACTTCCCGGCAGGTGTGTTGAGGCAAGTTGGAGCTAAACTCTGCAGGACACCGGCCCTCCAGGACCGAGTTTGGGCACCCCTGTTATATATAATTAAGAAATTGTGCAATATTCAGGAGCTGGTTTTCAACCCATGCCCTGTGAATTTTATAAATACAACAGCTTCGCTACTAAAAGCTACATTATATTTCTCAGCAATGAGGTGATAGCTGTTTTTGTAATTAAACCACCAAGCTTCACTAGCTACTCAATCGTGCATTCTCTCTCTCTCGTTAATTCATTTGAGTTCATTAAAATAAATATAATCTTACAGCGCTACTTATCTAAGGAGCTGTAGATAAAATAACAAATGAAAATGATCATTATTTTCCAGTGTTTATCCATTCAGTCAGATTTTGTGCTGCAAAACATCCATGACAGCTGTTGTCCATGCGGGCAAATAATAATGGCCTCTCGAAGTGAATTATTTTAATGTGCATAGTAAAGCGATCACTGACAATCATTTTGGGCGGGAATTAATGTAAACACAGATATCGGATAACAGTCGTGTCTAAAGTGAATGTAAACAGACGGACCATATATATACATATTTTTCAATATATTGTATATATTATATATACATTGATTTCTCAAACTGAGTTGTTTTCTCATGCACTGAGACAGAAATCTCCACTTCAGTAGCATTTGCATATACCAAACTTCACAGTTTAATTCCTATTTGTATTGAAGGTTTCTACAGAGGGGTTTGCTTTTAAATAATTTGCCTGATTTATATTACATTTTTTTCCTAAAACATGTTGAACTGTTTTTTTTTTTTCTGACAGTATTTTCTAATTTAAAAAAATTGATTTGTATGCAAACTAGCAAATATTTAATTGAATAATGCACCATTTGCACATTTAAACAACATTTCAGAAAACATTTAATACAAAAAAGTCTTAATATCCCGTGATCAGCTGGGGAAGTATGGTGATACTGTATACATTAGTTTTTTTTGTTTTTTTTTCAACCTTATTCATCTGTGGTGTCTTGCCTTAAAGGGGTCATATGATGCGATTTCAAGTTTTCCTTTCTCTTTGGAGTGTTACAAGCTGATTGTGCATAGATAAGATCCCCGAAGTTGCAAAGACTAAAGTCTCAAAACCAAAGAGATATTCTTTATCAAAGTTAAGACTCTGCCACGCCCCCCTAAAACGGCTCGTTCTAACACGCCCCCACATATCTACCTCACTATGTGGAAATATTTGCATAATGCTGCCCAAATGTGCACACAAAGAAAGAAGGCATGGTTTCAGTAACCGCAGTTAGTGTTGAAGCAGCCATGTCAGGGAGACGCTGTATGTTTCAGTGCGAAAGCAAAAGCACTTTATTTGGCCTTCCAGAAGTAGATGCATTTAGGAATCTTTAAGATTACTTACAACAGAACAGCAATGCATTTTATGGACGACAGTTTCGTGAACCTAGGAGAGGAGGTCATTCTGACTTTGCTATGACAATCTGGC